CAAAACTATGATTTTATTTGAGTTGGGTACGATATGTAAAAGGTATTCATATTATATTGATAGTCGGTAAAAAATATGAATAAAAGATTTTTTTTGTCCTTGTGAGTGTATTAGTATAAAAAGTAGTGATATTTGTATAATAATAATAAAAAAGTAAGAATGTATTAGTATAAAAAGTAGTGATATTTGTCTAGTAATAATGAAAAAGTAAGAATAATTTTACGGTGATATAAGTATTTATGAAAATAAGGTTATTGTTTTGGAACGGACAAAAATATAAACAAAACTATTGTATTAGGACTGATGAAATATTATTTTGCACGAATAAATGATTTTTTACATAACATAGTTTAATTCCACCCGACAGAGAGAGATCTTTGATAAATAAGTACTCCCTTTTGACATCTTTTGTTGTGGAAAATAATGTGCCAATTATTTTTATTTTTGTTGGCCGTTGTACATATTTTGTTTTTTTTTTTTAAATATTAATTATTAATTTTAGTTATATTTTAAATTTTATAATTTATAATTTATTATATTAATTAAATTATTTTATTATTTTATTTAAATTCTTGTGTTTACTGTACAACATGGAGACTTTAGGGTGTGTTTGTTTGGAGGTTTGGATTTTAATTTGGAATTTGAATAGTAAAAATTTTGAATTTGAATAGTTGTATTATGTGGTATAAATAGGTGTTGATGTGATGTTTTGAATGTAAAATTGATTTTTAGTATAATATAAAAAATGAAAAAGAGGTGTTTGATTTGATGTTTTTGGGGAAAAAAATTGGATTAATAGTAGAAAAAAAATCCAATCCCTCAAACAAAAACACACCCTAAATGAATATTATATTACTTTCTCCATCCACGAACTAATGTCCTACTTTTTTATTTGGGACATTAAAAAACTATTGTCATATTTTATTTTTTAAACACAAATTTTATTTTTTTACCCTTAATTTATTTATTACTTTTAATTTCTCCTGTACAATTAAGGACAGATTTGTTAATTCATAACAAAAAGACAATTACTTAAAAAATTATGCAAATATACTTTAGGATAGTAGAAATTAGAAATTAGACTGAGAGAGTATTTTTTGGGGGTGTTTGTTTGAGGATTGGATTTTAAATACACTATTCATCCTATTTTTCCCCCCAAAAAATATCAAATCAAACACCTATTTTTTATTTTTTATATAGTACTAAAAATTAATTTTTTACATTCAAAATATCACATCAATCCCAATTTATATCACATCGTACAACTATTCAAATCCCAACTCAAAATTCAAAAGCCCCAAACAAACACGTAAATTGTGTAAATTCAACTGAATCTCATTACTTTAGCTCGCAGTCGTGATTGACTGCGGCCTTCTTTAAAACGTGCTCTCTCACTTTTATTTAGGGTGTCTTTGTTGATATATTGTTTTAAATGTAAAATTGATTTTTAGTATAATATAAAAAATAAAAAATAGATGTTTGATTTGATGTTTTTGGGAAAAAAAAATTAGATGAATAGTGGATTTAAAATTCAATCCCTCGAACAAACACACCCTAAACGTACTCTTGTCTTTTTCTAATTATATTGTCTATCTTGATGTTAAAATTATTGCCTCTTCATTCTAACGAAAATATAATTATTTATTTTTTATACGTGAATTTTAATATTTTAATATTTTATAAATAATAATATAGTAAATTAAAAGATAAAAAATAACTTATTCTAAAAATCTTTTATTTTATAATGATAGTGTAGACAAAAAAATTGTGTTATATTTAATAAACACAAAATTTGTACAAATTATATTTAATTTAAATTTAATGCGAGTCCTATTCTCTATTTGGATCCTTTGATTCTCTCTCCGGGTCGATCCATTTTTCCAATTTGGATTTGGGTGGCTTCTTTGATCCGAAGGGATTTTGGTCTTCGGTTTGACTTCGTCGGTTTTTAGGAAACTTCGGTATCCGTGTTGGCGATTTTGATCGTCGACTTTGGATTGATGCCTCCTTTGGATGATCCGACGGAATTTGATCTTTGAGGGAGGGATTTGGTGCTCCATAACGCTTTTGGTGGCGTGTCCCTTTTGACTTTTGGATCGAAGAGAGCCTGGTTTGCGCCTTTTATGAAGAACGCGACGAACATCTTCAAGCTTTGGGAGCGACTTTGGAGGCTCTTCCTTGGCTTTGATGGATTCCTCGATGGCTTTGAGAGATTTGATCCTTCCTCCGGCTCGGACATACGACGAAGAACATTAACTTCATCGATTCGTCAACCAATATTGGATCATTTGTCCAAATCGGTGACTTTTCGACGAAGAACGCTTCGAAGGACACGAAGAACAATAAAGAACATTGCAGAGAGTCTAGAGAGACTTACCCTTGCGCGAGTCTTTAAATGAACTTCGGTGTCTAAATGAATTGGCCAAGGCTCCTATTTATAGGGGAGGGTGGCTTTGGCTTCCTTTTCGGATGGTGCTACGTGGATGGAAAGATTTTATAATCTTTCCTTTTCCATCGGATGCCGTTTTCCATTTTTAACGGATTTGATTATGCACCTTCCTTTCTCGTCAAAATCTTTATATCATTGCCTTTTTTGGAAGATATTAATTTATATGCTTCCTTTATTGACAAGATCTTTATATCATTGCCTTGTTTGGAAGATATTAATTTATATACTTCCTTTATTGACAAGATTAATTTATTTTGCTGCCAAATTTATTATGGCTCTATTTATGCACGTAATATTTGTACGATATCTTCCATTTTAAGCAGATTTTGCATTAATGGTTGATATTTATTGTACAAAAATTAACATATGTGCATAATTAAATACCATATATTTATTTTATTGGAATTTTATTTTCTTCTAAAATAGATGATATTTAATTGATTTTAGACATATATTTTTTAGTGTCTACTGATATTATTTATAATATTTGGTAAAATATTTAGTTTTGTCCAGAATTGAGTTTGTGATATGCTGAAATTGGATTTGACTTATATTTTTGTCATGTTCACCTCTTATTTTGAATGTTCATTTGTGTCCATTTTTTCATTAATGTAGGCACTTTACTAAGGTAAAAATATGTTTGCGTTGCTTGGTAGGATAATAAAAAAATACACTATCATTAAAATTTATGCCTTCTTTTTGGTAAAAAAATATTCTTGGCTTTTTAGTAAAATATCATTTTTTTTTCTGTACTCTGAAAGAATACTTTTTATATTTTTATTTACTTAAAATTTGTACTCTTAAAATGAGTGTAAATTTTGATGATAGTTAGGGGTGAGCATTCTGATCTGAAAATCTAAAATTTTTGGAAAAAAAAATTGGATGAATAGTAGAAAAAAAATCCAATCTCTCAAACAAACACACCCTAAATGAATATTATATTACTTTCTCCATCCACGAATTAATGTCCACTTTTTTATTTGGGACATTAAAAAACTATTGTCATATTTTATTTTTTAAACACAAATTTTTATTTTTTTATCCTTAATTTATTTATTACTTTTAATTTCTCCCGTACAATTAAGGACAGATTTGTTAATTCATAACAAAAAGACAATTACTTAAAAAAATTATGCAAATATATATTAGGATAGTAGAAATTAGAAATTAGACTGAGAGAGTATTTTTTGAGAGTGTTTGTTTGAGGATTGGATTTTAAATACACTATTCATCATATTTTTTTTATATTATACTAAAAATAAATTTTACTTTCAAAACATCACATCAATCCCTATTTATATCGTATCATACAACTATTCAAATCTCAACTCAAAATTCAAAAGCTCCAAACAAACAAGTAAATTGTGTAAATTCAACTGAATCTCATTACTTTAGCTCGCGGTCGTGATTGACTGCGGCCTTCTTTAAAACGTGCTCTCTCACTTTTATTTAGGTGTCTTTGTTTTGTTTAGAGCATGAATTTTGAGTTGAGATCTGAATAGTAAAATTTTAAATTTGAATAGTTGTATGATGTGATATAAATAGGTGTTGATATAATGTTTTGAATGTAAAAATTATGTTGATAAATAATATTGATTTGAATTTAAAATAGTAACAAAATAAAACCCATCAATTAAAGGTTCTTTACTTATATTTTGAATTTATTTTTCATATTGTTTAGAAACTAAATTATATATTTTTTATTAAAAATCTTAACTGTCTCACCAGTTGATCTACAAAAATCTGAGTATTAAACTGTTTGTGTTTAGTTTTAAGTGTTATATATAAAAATAAATAAAAAATAATTCAGTAATACTTCCTCCGTCTCTTAACAATCTATCTATTTTTCTATTTTGGTCCGTCCCATGACAAAGTATTTATTTCATTTTTTTCAGTAATTGTATTATCTACCTAACGTTACAAATATCCTTCCAATTTACAATATATTACACAAATGTCATTACCTTTGTATCATACAATACTAATATGGTTAATTTAGTCTTTTTACATTTATTTCTACTTTATCCCAATATAATACTAATATTTTTAAAACTTTGTGCAAAAAGCAAATAGATATATAGATATGAGACGGAACAATACTAATATGGTTAATTTAGTCTTTTTACATTTATTTCTACTTTATCCCAATATAATACTAATATTTTTAAAACTTTGTGCAAAAAGCAAATAGATATATAGATATGAGACGGAAGGAGTATAATAAATGAAATGTTTAGTTCTTTTAATTGAATTATTGATTTTATTTTTTTGATAATGTATAATTGTTGTATGTACATATATTAAAATTTGTTAGTTTTTTTTTCACTAATACTACTTAAGAATTATGACTAAACTTGTTCTATTGGTGAACGGAGATATGTAATTTAATTAAGAGTATGTTTGTTTTGTCATATAGTTTAAAATAATATTATAATTTTTTTATTTTAAATAGAAAATTCTGTAAATAATATAAAATAATAATTATTTAATATTGTTTTGTTTTTTTTTTAAAAAGAATAAATCCTAAATATTTTATACCCAAAATATATACCTTGTTGAAAAGGGAAGTGCTAGAATAGTTGGGATAACATGGGAGTAGGCCACTGTCGTCTTCTTCCTTGGGAATAATTACTAAACCTTTAGGTTTTAAGATACTGCACAACATTCAGAATTATGAAATTAAAATTTACTATATTTTTTTTATTTGAATTTAAATTTAAATTTAAATAATATTTTATGAAAATAAATAATATATTTTATTAAAACCATACAAACGAATAGTAAATATAGTAAGTTGAAATACAAACCAAACAAATCCATGAATAGCAAGAAAGATATGTAAGATTCATTTAAAGGAATAATTCTATTTAAATGAATAATTATAGTAATCATCTGATTTCAAATTATTATTATTATTATTATTATTATTGTTATTATTATTATTATTATTATTATTTAATTTTGATATAATAATTAATAATATAAAGTGTTGATATATATATGTGTTTATATCAGTATTTTTTTTGTCTGAGTACCAAGCTATTATGTGTTTGTTTGAGTTTTTATTATAATTTTTTTTAGGTATGAATAGTAATTTGAATTTTATATTTAGTGTACATAAATAATTGTACTCTTTCCGTTCTAAAACTACAGTCTTAATTGGGTTGGGCACGATATTTAAATAATATTAATATTATATTCATAGTTAGTAAAAAATATAGATAAAAGACTTTTTTGGTCCTGCGAATGTATTAGTGTAAAAAAACAGTGACAATTGTGTAATAAAAATGAAAAAATATGAATAATTTTACGATGATATGGTTATTTATGAAAATAAGACTATTGTTTTGGGACAGATAAAAATGGTAAACAAGACTATTGTATTGAAACGGAGGGAGTATAATTTATAAAAAGTTATAAAAAAATAGTGAAGTAAAGAATTTGAAATCAAGTAAAGGGTGCTTATATGTCATAATATTAAATGCTTTCTATATTAAAATTACGGTAAGAAATATGTTTTGAAAAATATTTTGGTTTTGTAAGTTGATTAAGAAATATGAAAATAAAAAAAAGAAAATAGAATATAAAAAAATGTTTGATATATAATAAATAGGCAATGAATATGATATTTTAAATAAAAAATTGGCATTTGATAAGTATTTTTTAAAAGAAATGCTAGACCAATGTTTATTTGTAGGTTTGATTTTTTTGTTTGAATTTTTTTAATAATTAAAATTTAATTTTGAATAATCATTTGATACGATATAAGTTAATATTGTCATACTAATGTGATTTTTAAATACTCTCTCTGTCCCACATAATTTGTCAATATTTTTTATTTTCGTCTATCTCACGTAATTTGTCTATATTTTCTACTTTTGGCACCGGTTTTTAGGTGAGTACTATTAAGTAGGATAATTTAGAAATTAGGTGATGTGAAAGAGAGATAAATATATGTTTTATTTTTTTTATTTGGATGATGTGAGAGGATAAAGTGTAGTATAGAGATTAAGTATAATTAATTATTTTCTATTTTGGAAATATTGCAGAGTGTTTGGGATATATCAAAAAAGAAATGTTGCAAGGGTGCTTGGGACAGAGGGAGTATAAATCTTTGCAAATCTTTCGAACAAACACACCCAATATTTGAAATATTTTGAACTTTTATAATTGACTATTGAAAATTATAAAAAAATTATAAATTTTTTTATTTTTATGAATTTTAAATATTTTGTAAATAAATGAATGTTATGAAATCACAATCAAACGTATCCATTAATAGTTTAATAACTTTGAACTTTATGGGCTTTTGAAGACAATGGTTAACAATAGAGAATTATTCACTGGGCAGTTTGGGCCATTTGCCATATAAATAAATATATAAGAATATTTAAGTGAGATTATTTTAAATAAAATAAATTTTAAATATAAAATATTATATATAAATCATAATTATTTATCCCTTTTATATTTATGTAAATTAAAAAAATATATGTAATATTAAATAGATAATATAATTATTAAAAAAATAAATAAATAAATTGTTACCAAATCAAATAAGAAGCATAACCACTCCAACAATCCAATTCACGCGCCGCCGTCACCCACCTTGCCCACCCCACTTTCTTCTTTCTTTCTTCGTTACTTTCTCCCCCTCTTCTCTTTTTTCTTTCCTTTTCTTCTAAGTTGCGCCGCCGCCGCCCGCTGGAGTATCCGGTGCGGCATTTTTTAATTTCCCTCTCTTTCTTCATTTCCCTCTGATTGTGCTTCCGTTTACTAGGAAATCGAGTATGTTTTAACATTTTCCTCATCTGTTTGCACATCCACCGGTTCAGAGAAGGCAAATTCGATTTTTTGTAGTGGTTATAAAAATCATGTGTTATAATTTTATTTTATTTTGTATTTTCTTGGTAACGCTATATCAATGAGATATGTTCAACGACCGTGTGGTCAAAATTGACGACTAATTTGGGACGATGATGACGACAGCTGTTACGTTGCATGTAGAAATTCATGCACCGCTTGGACGGAAATATATATATATCCCTAAATCCTAATAATACCTAATCTAATTCTGCATCTCACATTCTTTCCTCGTTTCAGTTAGAATTTAATTTGCACACAAATGAATGAATATACATACATACATATATATATATATATACACATATATTTATGTGCCAATATTGAATAATTAAAGCTTTATATAAATATTATAAATTTCCCAAAACGGATAAAACGTCGACATTCACGATAATATCGTAGCTACATGGCAAACCCTTCAATTTAATATCTACCAGAAATAGGTATTATTTTATTATCTATTTTGGGTCCAAATTCAAGGATGTGGTACACTATTGGAGATCACAAGTTTCCACGGGTTTGAGCACATTAACGTTGGATTCAAAGAACCAAACTATACAAGAAATTCAAATTTTGATTGTATAGCAACAAGGATGAAAATTAGTTTAAATTTTGTTGAGAAAATTATTAACAATCTGCATAATTATTAAATTTATCTAAATTAATGACTATAACAAATTTCGACTAGTAGATGCCCACAAAAACGGATGATTTTAGGATGGGATTATTAAAACTCAACATTAAGAAGCTAGTACAATTAAACCCCTATTAGCTACACTTACTGCTACCAATTCAATTGACTTTTCCTGATGATTCAATATATATATATATAAATCAAGCATGAATTCAACTCTTGATGTCAAATTGTCAACTGCAACCAAGCCCAGATATTTAGGTACATATATACACACACATATATATATATGCACAGAAGCACACCTCCATTGAATCTTGAAGAAAGCATTTTAAACGCATTGTATGTAGATCAGTAAATATATACCTATAAGAGGCGTTTATAAAGAAGACCAGCAAAGAAAGGAGAAGCAGAAGGTCGAAGATATCGATGTGCAGATTGCATATATACCAAGAAAAGGAGACAGAATTAGAACGAGAAAAAGCACCCAGCAAGTGTCCGAGCTGCGGAGGTCAAGTTCAGGCAGTCTATGTCGAAGCTCAGGTCAGATTATTAGGCTGTTTCACGGCATGTTCAATTACAAAGAAGAAGTTTTTCTGCACCCTTTGCTCTAAACGTCTCATTCTATGTTCTCAGATACACACCCTTTGATACAATATTAAATTCGCATTTGAATGATTCATTAAATTTCTGTAACCTAAATTCAAATGTTTATATACCTGTATTTTGGAAATCAAAATGCTAATACTCTAATTGGCAGAGTTTGTATAAATCCAATGGATGATAATATTAATAGAAGAGTCGAAATTTTTTAGTACCTCATGAAACAATTAGTTCATTCTTCTAATGAGCTCGTTGATGTAATCCTCGCGGTTGCCAGCATCGCCGCCTTCAACATAGTGATTCCTCTTCTTCTTCAATCCGCCCAATGGAGCTTTGAGCTGGAATGGCCACAAGAAGTTGTTGGCTTCTTTGAAATGAGGACCAACGGTGAAGATCTCGTGAATGAGGTCTTCTATGCAAATTATCTCATTCTTGCCCAAAGACTATAAAAAAATGAAGGGATGAGAATTGGGATGCGCAAAACAAATTATTCCTATTATTGTATAGGATGGGTTAGTAAAATCAAACCTGCTCAATTATGGAGTTGTCGGTCAATGCAATCCTCTGCTTGTTTACTTTTCCGTAGCCCCTTTTGTATATCAACTCCTTGACACTTTTAAGGTTGGGGTACCTAGAAGTTATGAAGCACCAGTATCAGAGTTTTTGTTAAAAGTGATATTTATAAAAATAGTTGAGGTAATTTATTAATATAGCTTACCCATAGGTAACATAAGGCTCAACCCTGTGCAGCATATTCATGGTAGCTTTGTTCACTTTCAGAAAGACGCCGTTAAAGATCTACATGAATGCCCAATGAAAACAGTCAAAAGGAGTGAAAACAGAAGATGTGTACTTAGAATAAAATAAAAATAAAGATACGAAAACAAATTTTAGAATGTAAATTATGAAGGCGTATCACAGTGAGCAGCTTCAAGAAGGAGAAGCCCACGTTCAGTTTTAAACTCTTCAACCCAAAAAAAAAAGGGGTGCAAAAAACATCTTTTCGAGTATGATTTAACTTATACAACGGACCTTTCTAGCTAAATGGTTAATAAATTCAAAGTACACAAGTGGTGAATCCATACGCTCGTAACAACTAGATTTAGAACAGATGTATGAAAGAAGCATAACTCTTAAAATGAAACACTGATAAGTACCTGACGCAGCCTCAGAAGCTGCAGAATCTTCTTGGTTGTTGGGTGCATAGCATTAATACTGGAAGAAAATGAATGCGGCACATTAATGAAATTCTAAATAAAAGATGAAGATATCATCAGAAGCATAGAATGGGCCTACCCCCGGATCCTAATAATGAACAAAAGCTTAGCTTCAGGGTTCACATAAAAGCCACCCTTCAATCTGGCTTCCCGCTTCAATTGAATCAACTCCCTCTCCTATACAACAACAAACAATGAAATTGTAAAAAATAGACTCAAGTAGTAATCAGATCCTAATTTAAATTGAAACAAAAACAATTCTGTATACCTGTTCAGCATACTCCTTTGCATAATGTTTTGCTCTTTGACAGATCAACTTCCTGGTGTCAGCCTTCTTTTTCTTGGCTTCCTCGAGTTCTTTGGCCTTTGCAAGGGCCCACTCCTCTGACCTCTTCTGCTTCTTCAAAACTGACTCTGGAACTATGGCTTTTACTTCAGCAACCTCGGCCATCTCTGATCAATAACCATCAAACTAAAATATCAAATCACAGTATAGCATTAAAACAACAATGTGCTACCTAAATCAAACAATTTATACTCCATCAAAATTGCAACCATCATTAAGACTGAATTTTATATCATGAAAGGGTATAAGAACATCAAGTAAAAAATTATTAATGGTCCATACACCACTAGCTCTCTGCAGCAGACAAAGTACAGCATATAGACACAGTTTATTCCAGATTATTTTAATTAAAATGTTTCCACTAAATAAGCCGGATTCTTGAATCGTGAAAAAAAAATATAAATAATAAGAAAAAACGTCTATCAACATACTTTCTTCTTTGCAGGACTGCAAAATTACACGGGCAAAAGGAAGTTGTAAAAAATCATTCTTGCTCTTTATTCTGATGGAAATCCTACAAATGGACTACTAGGCTCCGCAGCAAAGCTTTCGTACAAAAAATTCAAGCACGCCTAAACTTAAACAAGAGCAAAGCTTTTTCCCATGACCAGCAACGCAAAACATATAAAACGACCGAATGGCACTGCACTTCCTTTTTTATTTCGCAATGCAAATCTGCACAGCCTACACCGAGATGACTTCTAACACCCGGTATTTCCGCCATTCTTTACATTCACTAGAACAAGAATAAGAATCACAACCAGCTAACAAAACGCGACGGAAACTTAAAACTCGCTTCCAGTTCTCGTCATTCACATCACAACCACAACATCCAAACAACCTTCGATTTGGGGATACACGATGAAAATAAGGAAATAAGAAGGCAAGCAAATTACCTGATTCGATGAGTCGCCGGTGCACACTTCCCGCTGCAGTGTGAGGCTCGGAGGAGGAACAAACCTTACAAACCCTAGGAGCTTATATATATAGTTAGCTTAAAGCAGATTTGGATCTATGTTGGGCTGGGCTTAAATCCATTTTCTCTGCGGCCCAATAAGTTAGCCCAAATGGCTCGACCCCTACACATTAATGTCTGATACTTACAGATCATCTACTAGTCAGCAGCAGGCCGCATTAGAATCAACTTATGGGTTTGGCACAAAATATACAAATTCATAATTTTATTGAGTTTAGTTTTGATCAGATTTGTTGATTTAGATTTTAGATAGGGCAGGAGTACCTATTATTAATCAATTTTTTTTAAAAAAAATAATAATAAAACATTAAATTAATTTTTTTATTTTTAAAATTTAACAAAAATAATAATTTTATATTCAAAAAAATCATATGAATATTCATTTATATTATATCAAATAATTTTAGATTTTTAAAATTTTTACTACTTAAAACATAGACCAAAAATTAAAACCTTTAACCAAACACGTTTTATACACATTTTATTAGAAAATAGAACAGACTTCTCACATTGTACTAAATAAACATGTGTTTTATTATTTGTAATGGATCGGATTTTCTTATAGGAGATCGTGTGCAATACGAGGTTCAAATTTCAACATGATTAGATACGTAATTTTGAATATGTCGGATCTTAAATCTTGCTCGTGATTAATTTCTAAAAAAGTAACACTTGGATGATGATGATGATGATTTGGACAGAGAATGTTATATTCGCGACAATATTTTTACATTTTAGTAATCGTATGAATATCTATTATGTAATATGTATTTGAGACTGATTGAATCATGTATTATGCGAAAATCTTATTAGATAAGTATGATTTGGCACTCCAAAGATATAAACAATATTGGAGATTGAACAGAAAAAATAAACTAATGTTCAACTTAATTTATATTTTAGCATAGATTTATCATTATTTGATCATCTTCCCGCAAATCCATAGATAATGGTTGTGTTCTTTTTGCGGAAAAAAAAAAAAAAACAATCACACATTTTCTAAAACAAAAATAAAATACACGTATTTATTATCTTTATTTTACCTACACAATTTTCTATACCTTAAATAAAAATTATCTTTTCAAACTATTTTACAAAATAAATACATCCAATATGGCTAAACATAATATCGCCAGAAATAATAATAATAATAAAATAATATAATTTTTACCAAAATTACAATATACTATTATTTACATTCGGTCTTTATTTAAATAGAAGTCAATATTACGATATTATTATAAGTAATTTGTAGAATATTGTAAATGTAAATTTGGTAGGTTAATTATATTGAAAACGTGTAAAAATATAGTATTAAGTAAATAACCATAATGACTTACTTTCGATATTACAAATTAGAAAATTATTTTTATTCTAAATTAATTAAAGAAAACAAATTATTCCTATTATTGTATAGGATGGGTTAGTAATATGAAAATCGGTGACTGCAAGGCGTCGTATCATATAAGTCTAATGCAAAACAAACTGGTTCATGCAAAAAGTACCTCATGAAACAATTAGTTCATTCTTCTAATGAGCTCGTTGATGTAATCCTCGCGGTTGCCAGCATCGCCGCCTTCAACATAGTGATTCCTCTTCTTCTTCAATCCGCCCAATGGAGCTTTGAGCTGGAATGGCCACAAGAAGTTGTTGGCTTCTTTGAAATGAGGACCAACGGTGAAGATCTCGTGAATGAGGTCTTCTATGCAAATTATCTCATTCTTGCCCAAAGACTATAAAAAAATGAAGGGATGAGAATTGGGATGCGCAAAACAAATTATTCCTATTATTGTATAGGATAGGTTAGTAAAATCAAACCTGCTCAATTATGGAGTTGTCGGTCAATGCAATCCTCTGCTTGTTTACTTTTCCGTAGCCCCTTTTGTATATCAACTCCTTGACACTTTTAAGGTTGGGGTACCTAGAAGTTATGAAGCACCAGTATCAGAGTTTTTGTTAAAAGTGATATTTATAAAAATAGTTGAGGTAATTTATTAATATAGCTTACCCATAGGTAACATAAGGCTCAACCCTGTGCAGCATATTCATGGTAGCTTTGTTCACTTTCAGAAAGACGCCGTTAAAGATCTACATGAATGCCCAATGAAAACAGTCAAAAGGAGTGAAAACAGAAGATGTGTACTTAGAATAAAATAAAAATAAAGATACGAAAACAAATTTTAGAATGTAAATTATGAAGGCGTATCACAGTGAGCAGCTTCAAGAAGGAGAAGCCCACGTTCAGTTTTAAACTCTTCAACCCAAAAAAAAAAGGGGTGCAAAAAACATCTTTTCGAGTATGATTTAACTTATACAACGGACCTTTCTAGCTAAATGGTTAATAAATTCAAAGTACACAAGTGGTGAATCCATACGCTCGTAACAACTAGATTTAGAACAGATGTATGAAAGAAGCATAACTCTTAAAATGAAACACTGATAAGTACCTGACGCAGCCTCAGAAGCTGCAGAATCTTCTTGGTTGTTGGGTGCATAGCATTAATACTGGAAGAAAATGAATGCGGCACATTAATGAAATTCTAAATAAAAGATGAAGATATCATCAGAAGCATAGAATGGGCCTACCCCCGGATCCTAATAATGAACAAAAGCTTAGCTTCAGGGTTCACATAAAAGCCACCCTTCAATCTGGCTTCCCGCTTCAATTGAATCAACTCCCTCTCCTATACAACAACAAACAATGAAATTGTAAAAAATAGACTCAAGTAGTAATCAGATCCTAATTTAAATTGAAACAAAAACAATTCTGTATACCTGTTCAGCATACTCCTTTGCATAATGTTTTGCTCTTTGACAGATCAACTTCCTGGTGTCAGCCTTCTTTTTCTTGGCTTCCTCGAGTTCTTTGGCCTTTGCAAGGGCCCACTCCTCTGACCTCTTCTGCTTCTTCAAAACTGACTCTAAAATATCAAATCACAGTATAGCATTAAAACAACAATGTGCTACCTAAATCAAACAATTTATACTCCATCAAAATTGCAACCATCATTAAGACTGAATTTTATATCATGAAAGGGTATAAGAACATCAAGTAAAAAATTATTAATGGTCCATACACCACTAGCTCTCTGCAGCAGACAAAGTACAGCATATAGACACAGTTTATTCCAGATTATTTTAATTAAAATGTTTCCACTAAATAAGCCGGATTCTTGAATCGTGAAAAAAAAAATATAAATAAGAAAAAACGTCTATCAACATACTTTCTTCTTTGCAGGACTTGCAAAATTACACGGGCAAAAGGAAGTTGTAAAAAATCATTCTTGCTCTTTATTCTGATGGAAATCCTACAAATGGACTACTAGGCTCCGCAGCAAAGCTTTCGTACAAAAAATTCAAGCACGCCTAAACTTAAACAAGAGCAAAGCTTTTTCCCATGACCAGCAACGCAAAACATATAAAACGACCGAATGGCACTGCACTTCCTTTTTTATTTCGCAATGCAAATCTGCACAGCCTACACCGAGATGACTTCTAACACCCGGTATTTCCGCCATTCTTTACATTCACTAGAACAAGAATAAGAATCACAACCAGCTAACAAAACGCGACGGAAACTTAAAACTCGCTTCCAGTTCTCGTCATTCACATCACAACCACAACATCCAAACAACCTTCGATTTGGGGATACACGATGAAAATAAGGAAATAAGAAGGCAAGCAAATTACCTGATTCGATGAGTCGCCGGTGCACACTTCCCGCTGCAGTGTGAGGCTCGGAGGAGGAACAAACCTTACAAACCCTAGGAGCTTATATATATATAGTTAGCTTAAAGCAGATTTGGATCTATGTTGGGCTGGGCTTAAATCCATTTTCTCTGCGGCCCAATAAGTTAGCCCAAATGGCTCGACCCCTACACATTAATGTCTGATACTTACAGATCATCTACTAGTCAGCAGCAGGCCGCATTAGAATCAACTTATGGGTTTGGCACAAAATATACAAATTCATAATTTTATTGAGTTTAGTTTTGATCAGATTTGTTGATTTAGATTTTAGATAGGGCAGGAGTACCTATTATTAATCAATTTTTTTTAAAAAAAATAATAATAAAACATTAAATTAATTTTTTTATTTTTAAAATTTAACAAAAATAATAATTTTATATTCAAAAAAATCATATGAATATTCATTTATATTATATCAAATAATTTTAGATTTTTAAAATTTTTACTACTTAAAACATAGACCAAAAATTAAAACCTTTAACCAAACACGTTTTATACACATTTTATTAGAAAATAGAACAGACTTCTCACATTGTACTAAATAAACATGTGTTTTATTATTTGTAATGGATCGGATTTTCTTATAGGAGATCGTGTGCAATACGAGGTTCAAATTTCAACATGATTAGATACGTAATTTTGAATATGTCGGATCTTAAATCTTGCTCGTGATTAAATATTAAATATCAATTTTGGACAATTAGGTTGTTTCATGCAAACTTTCCATTAATACAAAGGGTTTCACACGATAAATAAAACATACGGTGTTTTGTGTATTTTTAGTAAAATACAAGGATATATTATATAATTTATCATTTATTAAAGTACTTCCTTGAAATAAATAAATAGATTGAGAGTTGACAGATAAAGGAATGATTTATATTGAATTATTATTTTTTTAAAAAATAAATATCTATGTTATATTTTGTAGAAATATACATTGAAAAGTATATAAAAATTTATAAGAATTGAGCTGTTTGCAAAAATGGTTTGTTTATTATAGTTTGAAATAAATTATTAATTTAAATTTTTATTAAATCATATTTTGATAGGATATTTTGCAAAAAATAATATTACCTACGTCTCATAAAATCAATAATATTTGTTTTTGCAAGTAAATTTTTTAATATTAATAATATTATATTGGTTTATAATGAAAATTATTAAAATTGCCTTATTAGATTGTGTGATATAAAAATAATGTAAGAAGTTGTAAAATTATTAATTATGTTAGATATATAGTATAATTATTAAATTAAAAAATAATACTCTTCTTGTTTTAGAACCGTTAAAAATAAAAAATAATATTCTTATGATAAGGAGGATATATTTTATTGAAAAAAAAAAATTCATAAACAAACAAACAAATTAAAAAACATCATAATGTATTTTTTCTATTAAATATAAACAAACACAGCCTTATAAATTGGGCCGAAGTTGTAATTGGACCAGCCCAAATAGTTGGCTTATTTGATAAGGAAGAAGGCGCGGAATTACATTTCTGTCTTCAGAACTTCGCAAAAAGATCCTCTCTCGGTTTCCGACGGGAGGCGATGGCGGTGGAAAGTGGCGGAGGGGGTTTGTCGGAGTTGTACTCAAGCTCTAAGCGCTTATCTATTAAGATCAGAGATGATTTGGAGAGGCTTGAACGCTTAGAATACACATCGTCGGCGTCGGCGTCGGCGTCTTCGCTCTCATCATCGAGCGCGGTTGTTGGATCTTCCGATGATCAGGGGGCTGCAATTCGAAGAGATTTAAACCAGATCCAGTCCATTTGCGTTGATATGGATCGACTCTGGCGTTCCATCGCATCCAAGCCGCAGCGTGATCTCTGGAAAAGGTAGCGCAACATATGTGTTTGTTTCTAAGTAGTTTTGTTGAATTATATATGTTAGTTTTTCGTTTTACGATCCTTTGCTGGTAACATGGCGAGAATTTGGAACAGCTTCGTTACTTGCTAGCCAATTTTGTGTTCTGATAGATGAATTAATTTGTGAGGGCTCCGGAACTTGTAAAAGTGAACTTGCGAGCTGCTGTTATGTAAAATTTCAATAGATGATAGTCACCATACTTGCTGGCTAATGTTGTGCTATGCTGATGAATTGATTTGTAAGGGTTCCCGAATTGGTAAAGCTGAAATTACGATCTACTGTGTTCAAGTTGAATGGATTGCATAATTGTAAAGTAGATGATGCGCTAACAACTGGAAAGTCTGATGAAGCTGCTGATGAATCTTTTTTTTTTTTTTTTTATCTAATTGTTGGAAGACTATATAATACGAACTCGAACTTAATATATACATTTTTTCTATCAGCTTAAGTTTATAGGAGATCACCATTAAAATGATATTAGAGCAGGAGGTTGTACAAAATGCCCATGTGCAAGGTTCACGTGAGTGGAGTGTTGGAAGAGTAATTAATAATGCATTTTTCTATCGGTTTAAGCTTTTAGGTAAGATGATTATTTAACCGTTATTAATTTTAATAGTGATATCTTCAGCTAATTGCGAGTTGGTTAAAATGGCTTAGGGTGTGTTTGTTTGTCTTTCAAATGTTTTGGGGTGTATTGGATTTAGATTGGATATTGATGTGATATTTTCAATGAAAATAGTTAGTTTGATTTGATCCTTTTTCAGAGGAAAAAGTATTTTAAAATATAGATTGCGTAGTCCGAAAACAAGTTTGAAAAGTGAAAGCACAAACTTGTGTATATCTTTGAACTTCTGGTTGTCTAGTTCTCCTTGTTTGTAGGAACTGTGGAAGTTATCTCATTCACATTGCTACTAAATCTTAATTAGTGCAACAAAGTAAGCATTCCCCGAGTATAAAATGTTTAGAACTGTCGAAGGTTATCCTTTTAGGACGAGATGTTTTAGATTCATCCTATATTAGTTTGATATCTTTCGTAGTTCTTCTGGATTGAAGAAATACATCACTTGATAAATTGTAATTGACTCAAGCTGTCTTTCTGTTTACGGAAAGTTCAACCACAATCAGGATGAAAGTGAGCTTTAAGTAGATTCTTTAGTTGATGTGATTTATATAACGATCATGATTGTGAAAAATATTCCATCTGATTAATAATAGTAACCAAGCCTACCCTAAGAGAATTTTTGTTGATACTGATTTATTTATTTAAAATTTTTAATAATGGCGTGGAATCTTGCATTGAAGAATAAGAAGCTGGTGCTTCTGTTCTTACATCTTCCTAATGAAATCGTTACACAATTCCTTTATAAGCTTAAAACATGTTCCCGATCTTCTCAGTCAGTATGCGTGCTCTTACATTTCATTTTCTTATTATGGATTTGGGTATAATTTCGTTCTTACAGAAAAATAGAACAAGTTAGCGAGGAGGCTGACTCATTTAGAGCAAGTCTGGACAAATACCAATTAAGGCAACAGAAACGAATACAAGAAGCACAAGAGAGAGCAGAATTACTTGGAAGAGCTGTACTTTCCTTTTCTTGATTTGAAAGCATTTTTCTTTGCTCTCCTTGTTTAAGTCGAGCCATTTGTTTGATGC